TCTATGTAGCATAAATTTTTGTACTTAATTAGAGTGAAACTTTTTACGTATTGCTTTTGACATTTAAGATTAAATAGAATAATACTCAATTACCTAAATTAAAGGGTTCTATGTCCAGTAGAAATAAGTACATGAAAAAAGTTACATAGATGGGGTTGACCAAGGGATAAAATAGGCTATTTATCTTATTTAATATTTATTCATCTGGATTTAATTTATGAATGAATGAATATAAATCATTCATTAGTTGCATAAAAATTCAAAGGTGAGCACATTAGAACTATCAACTTTATAAATATAACAGATATTTTTGCTTATGAAGATATGGTCACAGAACAGACAGATGCATACATTTTAATTATATATAGATAATTTCTATCTTTATAATATACACGAACAAATAAAATAAACAGTCAAATCTATAACTTTTAACATATTTATCATGGGTATATTCTAGTTAGTCATTATAAATTATGAGTATTCAATCAAAAGTAAAGTTTTACGAGTAACTTGCATGAATATAAAAATATTTGGGGCACAATTTACTCTTGTAATTGTATAAAGTAATTACAGAATTATGCAAAATAAAATTAAATTTGTAAATAACAAAAATAGTTTATATCAAAAAAAAAGGTACATTGGAAACACTATACAATATAATGTAAGGCTTTATATTGATGTTGACGTATCAAACTATGTTAGATCTATCATGCTACACATATCCCATTATTTGTATCAAAAGTAGGAAAGTCACATTCTTTAACTCCACCACTGGAATCGAAACAACATGCATCAATAAAATTATTGATTGTACAGCCGCAGGGAGTTTTACGTGGACAACATGGAGGAATTGCGCAGGTGGAAGGTGTTGGAGAAATGCATTCAGTTTGGATGAGGGTACAAGTTATCATTTCTTCATTCTTTTTCGGTTTTAGATGATGACGATTGTGGTTTCTACGATAATTTATTTGATCATTATTTGGGGGGCAATTGAGGGTAGGAGTAGGTGTATCTGTGCAG